GTCCTGAACCCCATAAGAAATAATTATCTTCCTAAACCTTTCCCCTCAGGTAAAATGAAAAAATATGTTTGGAAATGGCAGGTGAAACAATGTGATTTAAAATAATAATGATAAAGTTTTTACTGTATAATCAGCATTAAAAATGTGCCCAATGGCAGGATATGCATTTTAGCCCACCCCCCAACCCAGGAGAATATTCAAAGGTACACAGCTTTGACATACAATAGTGGGTCCTACAATCCATAGGCACAGTCTCCTGCTATTCCATAAAAATAAGTCAGGTGAGGAGGGATTTGCAGGGTGGCAAGGGTGGGCCACAGCTGAAGAAATAAGTACAAACCAGATCATGAATGTGCTTTTATGTCATGATCAGTAACTTATCTTTTATCCTGAAGGCAATGGAAATTCAATAAATGTTTGCTCAATGTAATTGATTTACCCACTTAGGAAGAGTTTGCTTCCTTAAGTAAATAAGACCAGTAATGGAACCTCTAGTGAGAACCCAGCTGAAAATATTCTTTCCTCAGGAAGTATACCTTATCCTTGTTAGAGTCTGTAAACAAGTCTGGATGGCGCCTGGCAAAATGCCAGAGGGAGTGGTTTGTGAAGTAACGCCAGCGAGCCATTAAGTGTGGAGATTCCTTATTGGTTGACTGATGTATCTAGTTTATGCTAATTAAGATAAGCTGTGTGGAATGTATAAATACCGCTCCTGTCCTACAATAAACGGCTCCCTCTCCTGCTGTATCAATGTACACAAGTTATTCGTCACCCCCCTGATTATTTTGCTGCAGCCGGACTGCGGCAGATGGTGGCCCGTACGGGGAGCCCCAGGACACTCGGGGGTAAGTGACAGGAAAAAAAAGCTGCCCGTCCATAGATAGGATGGGAGCAATCTGCTATTCCCTAGGCAGATAGGGCGAGAGGAAAAATGACCATTTCAAGAAAATGGAGAAGATTGATACAGTATGTTTGTGTCTTGTTTTGTCTCAGTGTATTGTATTGTCTTTGTGATGAAAATATGGAAGGGGTGAGAAGTAAATTACTAAGGGAAGAAGGCACCCCAGTGGAACCAAGAATAGTTAGGGCATGTGTTGATAAGAGCCCAGGAACTCTAGTCAGAAAGAAAAAGAAAGTTCAGAAGAAGAAGGATTATCAGGAAAAAAGTTGCAACAAAAGGCTATTACTAAATACTTTTCATTACCGGAGGGTGAGTGAAGCGGAGAGGCGGCTGCCGAGTGTGCAAGCTGGTCACAGCGCAGCAAGGATTTTCCAAGAGGCCGCGGCGACTGGCCCTTCCCCACCTCCTGGCCGGGGAGCTGGCTCTTCCACTGCCGGAGCCCAAATCTAGACCTGACCAGGAGGCACAGTCTCGCAGGCTCTTGCTCCCTGTGCCCAGTAGCAGTTTGAGTCTGGGACACTCCCCAGGGCCATCTGGGGCTGCCCAGGCACTACAGCCAGCAGAAGATGCTACTGGTGTCCCTGATGTTTGGTCATTTTCAATGCCAATAACTAAGCTACAATGGTTCTCCCACACCTGGAAGCTGATGAGTAGTGAGCACTATTAATGCTTATTTCAAATGCAAAAAATCTTGAGATAATGTACTAAATTGTTCAGAAGGTTGTTTTCTTAGCACCTGCTGGAATACTACAGGATTTTCTTTAACATCATTGCCGGAGTTCCTGCCTTCATCCCAGTGCAGGTGAAAACGAGGGTGGAAGAATTTCCAGTGTTGCTGAAAACCGGACGAGACTTCGGATCAAGCTAGCTGCCTGCAGAACTTACTTGGACTGTGATTTAAGCTAGCTGCCTGCAGAACTTACCTGGACTGTGATTTACCTGGTCTGTGAGTTAATCTATTGAGACACTGCTTTACCTGGAGTGAGACAACAAACTGTAATCTACAACAAATTGTAACTCGGTATCTTTGCTAACAGTGTCATTGCTGGTATAATTTTTCCAAGGGCTTCTTGCATGGAGCCATCAATTGGCTTGGTATTGTGGCATTTTGTATCCTCCCTTTCTGTTTGTAGCAGGTTATTTATGGTGTTTATGTAAAAACCACTATGGTCGTTATTTAAATTAAACAAAAGGAGGAATTGTTAGAGTCTGTAAACAAGTCTGGATGGCGCCTGGCAAAATGCCAGAGGGAGTGGTTTGTGAAGTAACGCCAGCGAGCCATTAAGTGTGGAGATTCCTTATTGGTTGACTGATGTATCTAGTTTATGCTAATTAAGATAAGCTGTGTGGAATGTATAAATACCGCTCCTGTCCTACAATAAACGGCTCCCTCTCCTGCTGTATCAATGTACACAAGTTATTCGTCACCCCCCTGATTATTCTGCTGCAGCCGGACTGCGGCATATCCTCATAGCTGAAATTAGAGAAGCCCTCCTATTCGATTCACTCAGGACTTCTCATCAATTAATCCACAAAACTGTAGCCACAAATGCATCTTACATGACTAATACATATTGAATATTAGTTTATTGAAAACTTAGACAAATGCTTCAGTTACAATCTTTTGGTTAGGGTCAAAGCCTTTTCTTGAATAGGGATTTGTTGATCAGAGTCCCATCTCCTGCTCTTTTGCATAAACCAACCCCATCATCCAGAATAGATGACACCCATTTCTTGTTTTTTTTTAATATAAACTTCATCATCAAAAATCTTAACAAATCTTTCATTTTTATGAATTTTTCAACTTTCAAAGTTTCTATTGCTAACTCAAAAGTAACGTTTTTCTTAGTAACTCATATATCAATTCTTTTAAAAACTGAATCCAGCTTAGATTTTATTGTAAAAAATAAACTTCACTTAACTCTCTTAATATTTAATGTGCTGAGTAGTCACATTTATTAGTGAGACTGGCCTAGTCTGGTTTGCAAACTATCACAACTGACTCTTGGTGGGAATCCTCAGAAAGAAATGAGCAAAATGGCCAGGCCCATACCTCTTCTTTGCAGAGGGTGTGGAGAACACTAACAAACCAGGCAAGACTCAAGTCAAGGAAGTTACCAGTAGGATTTCTCCTTTCTCCAAAAGTCTATTATCAAAAATCCTCATCACTGTCTCTGCAAATGTATTGCTTAAGTACATGATTTCCTCTCTCCCCTTTTGAATAATCCATTCCTACTACATTTTTGTGTCCATTACATAAAAGCTTTCATTATACTTGTATCTTATTGGCAAAGTAAAAAAGTCGAGCCAATTCCACAAGGGTTTTTAAAAATATAAATGTTGTTCTAATTGATAGTGATTTTGATACCGGTCTTGGAAGTAAGGATCGGGTCCTCATTCCCCAATGATGAAAATTAAACACCGAGGCAAGCTCAAGCATAGAAAGCAAGTTTTATTTAAGAAAGAGAACAGAGGTAGCAGAGTTCTCCAGAGAGAAATTGGGGCCCAGAACTGGGTGCCCTCAAGATGGGGTGTGTCTTGCTTATTTATGGATCCCAGATTTCCTCTCCCTTTCCACCTTCTCTTTCTTTCCTGTACCTGCCTAAGGGCAGGAAAGAACGTCCCAGGGGGTAATCATTAGCAACTCCTTGTGTTGAGGAGAGCCATTCCCAGAGCATTAGCAAAGAATTGGGTGTGTGTGTGGGGGGGGGGGTGCAGTTCTCTGGAGATGTAAGCAACCCATTTCCTTTTCTTTGGTAATTAGCCCTAATCTTTCCAACTCAATCATTTTTACTATCTATAATGACTACCTATCCTTCCCCTGTCTCAATTTTTATGTTTATTTTATTACTACCTTGTGGGAATTTCCCCATATATTCTTTAGTCATTTAAACCATTGTATGCAATGAATATCTATAAGATTAATTTTTATGGTTGTGTGGCATTATTTTTAGGAAAAAAAATGTCATGATCACAAAAGAGATAATACAGAAAATATTCTAGTACGATTGAAACCAGACAGCCTTCTGCAAATTGTTCTGCCTTTGCATGCCCTTGCCCCACTGCAATCTCCACACCTGCTACTTTGACTTCTAAGAACTACGATCAATCTGTCAATCTGGAAGCCAGAAAGGTTTGACAGACAGGAGACACCTTCTAATGACTGGAGGGATCAAAGGAGATGGGCCAGGAAATTTTGATCCCGACTCTGACCCCTCTTCAGAGAGGCAAAGTTTTAGCAGTCGCCATGTCCCTTAACAACCTTATTTCCCGTGAGGAAGCCTGGTTCCAAGAGGTGAGCACCCAAAGACTCTAGAAAAACCATGTTCTCGCCATCCCACTTAGGTTACTAATGGCTTCCTTAGGGGCCTCAAGGACCCTCCTTGTGGCTCTTAATCCCACCTACACTTCTATAAATAGCCCTTCAAGGGATCTTGTACTTCAAGATCTCAGCTAAGCAAGCATTCTGTTTCCCACTGGGACCCATATTGATACAATCACCAAATATCAGTCTTGCAATAAATTTCTGGTATTCAAAGGTACTCCAAAGCTTTTACTTTTTTTTTTCCCCTCTAACTTTTTATGCTGCATTTACATCTAGCTGAGAGACTAGAGGGAGGGAAAAATACTCTGGATCTTTAATACAATTTGAAAATAAATTTCCCAGTCCTTAACAAATAGTTAGTGTGATCTACCTTTTGACCCAGAAGTCTTACTATTTAGACTCTATCATTTAGTAATACTAACTTAAGTGTTTAATGATACATCTCAGGAATCACAAACCTAAGGACCCATGAGAACAAGCAGATGCTTTAGATGAGAAAAGCCAGTCAAGTGCTAATAGAAAGAGCAGGGATAGTAGCAGATGGAGTAACCATGAATTTATGAATACAGCAGCCCTACTCTGTCAAAGCTAGTCTTTGAAATACAAAAACTAAACCTAGCAACTATTAATTTTTAAATATTTTAGAGAAGCCAAAACTCTCCAAGTTCATTTAAATGATCTCAATTGAAAAATTTTGAATGATATTTTTAAATTATTTTAAATGATATGGAATTCAAACCAAATGAAATGTAGCCTTTGTTTTTTTGTTTTGTTTGTTTCTGCACCATTCCTAGAAGTATTGCAATACCAAGTCGATGAATAGAGTTGTTGGAGCAAATTCCCATTTCATCTCTTATTTCTAAAAATCCGTTGAGTATATTGTCCTCAACAGAGGACACATAAGATATTAAACTGACATAAACAAATACTACACTTGATCCTAACTGAAAGCTTGAGAAGTGATAAACTAGTAGTTTAGATCTGACCCTCAGAAGCAGTTTTTATCTTTGAAGGATATATAAGAATGTAATTAGCCTCACTGTTTGAAGTAGCAAACATTTAGAGACAAACTTAACAGCATTCATGAGGTAGATTTTTTTGATACATTTGGGCTGGTATGTCCCAATTAAAAGAACAACACAGAGCTATATGTAACTAAAGAGGATATGCTATTTACAGTCAAGTTATTTTAAGGAACTTTCAAAAATAACACAAAAAGGAGGATCTGATATTTGAAAATATTTGCATTGTGTAATTGTGTATACATGAATAAAAAATCATCCTGAAAACAACTACATCAGATTGCTGCCAGTAGTTTAAAAACCAGCATGAATGGAAATAGAATTTTTTTTATCTTTCTATACTTTTCTTCTTACTAATTTTTCACAGAGTTATAATATGTAGGTCATTAAAATAAAAAATAATATCCAGTTAAAAGTTTCTGAAACTTCAATGTTGATCAAACAGATTTGGGAAGTTTTGTATCGTCATGAACTACAGCAAAAAGAAATAGTCAATAAATGTTGGCAATTAAATTGTGTTAGGCACATTTCATTGCATGTATTAACTCAGTTGAAACTCACAACAACTTTCAAGACATAGTGTCTATCATTTTCCACACTTAATTACCATCAAAACTAAGGTCCAAAAGTGTTCAAAGTCACATAGCTTTGAAGTGGTGGAACTAGTCTTCAAAGTATTAGTTTACCTCAAGACCTGTACACTAAACCCCAATAACACTGCCTAAATACTGTTCATGAGATGCCAATAATTCATAATGATTCAATATAAAATAAGATAATGTCACCCAAGTTCTTATTCATAACTGATGTATATTTAATTAATAAAAAAATCATGAGAATATTTTATTCAAGTTAAAAATAACTTTCTTATTGGGAGGAAAACAACCCACAAAGAATTTTCATATCTCTTTTGTATAAGTTTTTCCTGAGGCTTAAGAGTTTATAGATTTACCTCTCTCCATACTAAAGCAGTCAATAGCTGTCTTTAAATATTCAGCCAAAGAAACATTTCAGTTGTCTTGGTGATAGAAGCCAAAACATGATTTAAAAAAAGGTCAAGGTCATTTTATCTTCTGGGGAAGAAAGAAGTATTGACTTTGTGAACTCAAAGAATAATATAGGAGATCAAAATGTTTTGAAGGCATGCCTCATAACATCAAAAGTTTCCTGTGTTATGCAAGACCACAATAGGTCTGTCTTTGAAGAATGATTCATTGTGGGCTTGGTACATAACAAGCAATAGTTTAGAACATGCTAGAGTGGCTTCAGAATTTTCCCTCCACAAGTTCCTACTCTTTGCATCACTTTATCCAGCATTAATCAAGGTGAAGGACTGAGTTTTGACTCAGAAGAAAGATTTCAATTTTGTCATCAGTCCTTTCCAGAAAATGGTATAATTATGGCAAAAGAGATCCCGGTGCTATAAGGTTAAATCAATATTGAAGTTATTCATATTTACCAAGGGATGGAATGTGGCATACTTTCCTTCTGTCTTCAGCAGAAGCATGAATAATTCTCACCCTACTTCTCTCAATTCAACACATGAGCTCACCTCCAGGGCATCTTCAAGGCCTCAGAATGAATTATTCTTTTTTTTTTTTTTTTTTTTTTAGAGAGAGTGATAGAGACAGGGAGAGAGAGAGAATTTTTTAATATTTATTTTTTTAGTTTTTGGTGGACACAACATCTTTTCTGTATGTGGTGCTGAGAACCGAACCCGGGCCGCACGCATGCCAGGCGAGCGCGCTACCGCTTGAGCCACATCCCCAGCCCCAGAATGAATTATTCTTTGGTCCTACTTTTGCTTTTGTTTTTGATTTGCTAGCAAGAATAACTCAATATATTACATGTCACTTTAACAGGAAAATTCTTTTTTTTTTTAAGAAAGGAAAGTTAAAACAGATTCATAAATGCTTAAGGATTAAGAGAAAAAATGATATATAAAATTGTAACTCATCCCCAAACTATCAATTTCAAACTATTAGTTGAGTACATGACAAAGACAAGAGGAAGGGACAGCTGTGTGCTTAGTCCTGTGGAATAAACTGAATTAATTTGAGAGAAATAATGAAGTGAGTTAAAGCTGCAAGAGATGTAACAATTTAAGAAAAGATTTCATTTTGTTCACCTATATTGGGACACAAAACCCAAGGCCATTATCCAGAGATAAGAGTATAACAGCTGGAAGATAAAGATATAAAATTGTCCAGATCAAAGCTTTACCTGCACTAGGGATGAAAGGTGACAGATGGCTAGATTATATCTGAAGCAAAGAGCCAATTTAAGAAAGAAATATACCAAGAAACACTACAATTTCTTGGTGACTACTGAAGTCCATCTATGATACTTGCATGTTCCCCCTAGACAGGTACAAAAGAAGCAAAAAAAAAAAAAAAAAAAAAAACTACTTTTATAGTTTTAACTAAGACCTAACAGCAGATTACTGCTAAGTCTATAACTTCACTTGTAAAGTTCAGAAACATCTTGCCACCTGCTTTCTAGACATTCCAACCAGAATCCCATATATCTGGATCCAAATAGTGTGAACTCTTGAAAGTATGGAATTAATCTACACAGACTTGACTCTCAGCCTCACAAACTAGAGTCCTTCTGATTCTTTGTAATATCTGTATATATGCCCTTAGTTGGGCAGGAGGTCAATGTTTTTGCATGTGCAAAGCACTCAGTACAGTGTTGCATGAAGTATATGCCCAAAAGTATATGCCCTTGTCAACACCATCATTATAGGCACAATATTCATGTTAATTATATTGATATAACATTAATATCAATTGAATATTTATAAAATAGAACCCTTCATCTATTTCTGAAACCTGACATTCCTCCTGCATTTCCTATTTTGATGAATTTCAGCAGTATATACATTTTTTTCTAAATCAAAATCCTATAGAATATCTTCTCAATTTCCATCCCCCACTCAACTTGTCCTTACCAACCCAGATTTCTCTTGTTAAGATCCCATTCACTCTTCTTTAAGGTAAAGTAATATTCCATTATGTATATATGCCACACTATACACATGTATGATTACACTACTAGAATGATCTGAACCATATACAGCCAGAGGAATAAGAAGTTGTGCTCCATTTGTGTACAATATGTCCAAATGCATTCTGCCTAAAATAATAATAATAATAATAATAATAATAATAAAAAGATCCTATTCACTGTGTTCTGTCCCAACAGACTGCTTACATTTTACCAAAAATAGATCTTTATCTTTAAACTGTTCTCTCTGCCTGAAATCCTTCATGATGAACTTGATTGCTAACACATACTGTAAAAAAATCTTCTGGATAAATATTACTACCTTTAGAATGGTTTTCATAATATCCACCCTACCAAATCAAGCAGAACCGCTTATTTCTTCTCTATGTTTCTTCCCATGAATACTCAAAATACACGACCTACATCCAATGCAGTAACTACCACAGCACATTGCAGTAGTTAGGTTTCTGTTCTATGTCTGTGAGGAATCCTTAGTGCTGGGTCTTGTTTAGCTCAGGAAACCTGAGGGACATGAACCGCCAACAATGTAATGAGATTAGGGACTGAGACTATGGTCACTAAATTTCTTAATGTTCCTGTTCACTTCAAGATGTGCTTTCCCAAAAGACAGCTTACATTATATTTATAGAGTTTTTAAATCGCAACTGCCACATTAATCTGTATTTGTGATAAAATATCACTCTTTCACGAACATTGCTGTTTGTGCCCTATACGTTCTGAGACAGCATGCCTAAATTCAAGTCTTTCCTTGCTATCAGCTTATAGGCAAAAATATGAACCATCTCAAAAGAAATGTCTTATAATCCATCTCTAAATTCCTGGCATTTGATAAAATTAAGTTACAGAGTTTAACCAAAGGGGAAAATATTTCTAAATTGAATCTATTTGTGATATACTGGTTTAAAATTCAAAACTGCCAACATATTCTGTTTACTCCCTTGGCATCTGCTGCATCTGCCAACTGGTGGCCAAAAATTAGAGCAGACTTAACTAATTAGAAGGGTCCCCATCTGGTAGCTGAACTTCTTGTTTATGCTTCCTTTACATTCTAAGTACAGAGATTCGAACCAGAACTTTTGTGGTTTGCAGTGGAGGAGGAGGCTCTCCTGCCTGCCTCTGAGCTATTGTCCTGCTGAGCTGAACTTGGCCCAGATGGAAGTGTTCTCTGTGTTTTATGGCCTCCCTCCCTGTGCTCCCCTTGGGATGAATCATCTTTGCCACAGGAGTTTCCATTGTCTCTCAAAACACTTTTTTTTTTCATTCATTTTTTATCTCTGTAGGCCTAAACCTAGGACTGTGAGTACTTTATGGAGAAATAAAAGCTTCCAAAAAGAATCTGTGATTTGGTAAAGTCAATGCTATCCTAGGAACAACATTTCTTCCAGCTACATCCCATGTAGTTCATTTCCTCGGGGTTTTCATTTAATCATTGTGAGTGTCGTTTCATAACAAAGCAAACTTCTTGCAGAATCCTGCAGTGGGTATGATCACTGATTGGATTAAAACTTCCATTATAGTCCTGGTCCTTAAGTACTGAGGACAAGAGGACAAGGCAGGCTGCTTTGGCACAGGGGGAAGGTCTGTGTTTCACGCAGAGTTACCCTCCTGAGCTGAGCTCAGAGTTCCAGGCCTGACTCAGGTGGGCTCCTACCCTCAGTGCATCCTTTCTACTCTCACCTGCAATGCAAGGTCAGGGGCTGCAGGCGGTCCACCACTAAGCTCTGCTGGACCAGGGCCAGTGCACTCCCGAATTCCTTGCTTGAAGATTGGGAAACCTGCTTCCCACCCTCACTCAGTTAGAGGCTTGGCTTGAAGCTTCCAAGGAAGATTCCAAGAAACTGATTATGTTTTCTGGAATTTACTTCTTCATTTTCTTCATAATGAATATCTTAAGAGAGATACTGGCATGATT